ATTACATGATGAATTTAACTGATTTAAGTTGATTATACAGCGAGCTGGCAAACACTGTTAGAAAATATGTATTAATTAATGAAAAAAAGATTAAACACACCATAATCATTTATATATAATGATTTACTACAATATTTTACACTTTATACATACATGGGTGATATAGTACCACATAAAGTTCTTATGAGGTTCAAAATTTTCACTATCTTCATCGTCTCTATGTGTAGAGTAAATTTATTGTGAAGAGTATTCATCAAATGATAAATCCCCAAAATAGTTTTGCATGTAATTGTTAACATTCCCCTCATATAAATATAAATATTTTAGCATATTATCATAAAACAAGTGATATATGGTGGTTATGGTGTTGAAGGAGTAAAATGGAAGGGGTTCAAATTCCCTTTGTGGTTCGAAAAAATCGAAATATCATCAATATTTGGTCGATATTATCGATATTTCAGATTATGCTCACACATTAACACATGGCACAAACTCATGTTGTGGGATTACTACTGTTCAACTGCATGAATGACTAGACATTTCAATGTCATCGCTCACCAACCACACACGTCATGGAATACATAAGCTAGGTGGAAACTGGTGGCTGAGGGCCCACAATGACATGGAAAAGCTGCTGATATTACTATTTAGCATGCGTTTTCATGGCGATGCTGATAAATATTACAAAGTAGTCTTGTCAAATAGCGCCATTTTTATATTTAAAAGTAAAAAAGTAATCCGAAAAAATAAGAGACATAAAAAATCAAACGAAGTCTTCAGCAAACAAGATCACCCCGTTCGCCACCAACATCCACCGCCAACAAGACGTCGTACGGCCCCTGGACATGGCAGCGATTTAACCGGGCCGCCACTTTCTCTCTCCTCAGTCCTCCCTCGTACCTTAACACCCACGCTCAGTTCCAAACAGTCACGAATCGCCGTGTCCCCTGAGAAAAAAAAACCCGCCTCGCAGTTTCGGCTCCCCACTTGTTAAAAACTGTTTTCGAATCTGGCTTTTCCACTTTAACAACACAAAAGGTAAGTAAAAAATTCAAAAAAACCCAAAAATCCGCGATCTTCAAAAAACTGTTTTCGTTTTCGAATCTCTTGCAGTCTTTTTTAATTCAGAAATTTCAAGTCTTTTTTTTTGCAATTTAATAATATGGGAAAGTCGCTTCCCTCCACCGCCAGGCTGTACCAAGTCGCCAAAACGACGTCGCAGAGCCTAGTGACCTCTCCCGCAAAGCAAACGAGGCCCACCTCGCCGACAACCCAGAAATCGTCGAAGCGGCCGAGGTTGTCGAAGGGGAAGGAGATGGAGTCTGAGAGCAGCTCAGTGAACGCGAACAGCAGCAGCAACGAACACCGCGTGCCGCTCTCGGCCGTCGTGTCGGACTGCATAAAGCGGTGGTTCAAGGACACGCTCAAGGAGGCCAAAGCCGGCGATATTAACATGCAGGTTTTGGTGGGCCAGATGTATTACAACGGCTATGGAGTCGCCAGAGATGCCCACATGGTAATTGCCTTTCTGGGTTTGGTTTGATTTCTGGGTTTTTTTATGTGGGTTTTGGGTTTTAGGGTTCAAGTTCTGAGCTTTTTGTTTTCTGATCTTGTTTTCGTGTTCTAATCCTAATTACTTTTACATTAAGTGGCTGAACTTGTTTTTTGATCAATTTGATTAGCTAAAGTTGCAAGCTTTGTGTTTGGCACTACAAATTGTAGAGTTAAATGTTAGGATTAGTACTTAATTAGAGCTCTGGTTGTGATTGCGTTATGATTCTTATTTGTGCTAATGCTTTTCGGTTTTCGCGATTTTACAGGGAAGAGTATGGATTACAAGAGCGTCGAGGACGCGATCTTCAGCTTGGAAAGTTGGTGATAAGCAGCCAGGTTTGACTTCTGTCTTTGCAATTTCTGTTATCGTCATCGTTGTGCTAATCATCCTTGCCTTAATAGCTTTGCCTCTGTTTGGTCTTCTGTGTCTGGCAGGTTATAATGCAAGTGATTCAGATTCAGATGAACTGAAGTGTGATTCTTAGCACGACTAAGTTAGCCTTCACGCCCGATCAAATTTTGAGCTGGTATTGCTTTTGTTCTTGCCCTTTTTGTACTTGTTTTACTTCATCGTTCAATATTTTGAATAATTCGAGTCCGCAAAAATAGTGAACAACGAGTGTGATCCCGTATGTGAGAAATTTCAAAATTTGTAATCCTACGAACATTCGTTTTGTCGGACAACGTCTTCTATGTGTATGTATGTAATTGATCTTACTTGATACTTAGTATTTGTTGATTGACTTCCATAGCTCATTTGTATTTGGTTTCCTTCATTTATGAGATACATAAAAAAAAAATTTGTTTCACATCGGTTTTCAAGCTTAGAATTTGCATCTTCTTTGTTGAGTCTTTTGAAGTTTATTTTTCCCTCCCCCCTACTTTCCTTCCCATTCCCCCCTACTTTCCTTCCCATCACCAATGTAAGAGGAGGGAGAAACACATATTTCTTTTCCGTTGTCCTTCATGATTAACCCTTTGCATCCTTTCATTTCTCCATCCTTCCTGATTCATCGTTTGTTAAGATTAAAACAATCAATCTTGAGTGGTATACAGCACCCCTAAGATCTCAGCATTTGGTAATAATTTTCTTTACCATTTGAAAGGGTCTCACTATCGGTTCATTTTGTACTCCGAAATCAATATTTTATCATCTTCATAACTCACGGAACCAGTGCAGGATGACAAAACTAGGAGTGTATATAGCATTGCGCTTTGGAAAGCCCTTATTGCTGACATAATATTTGTATTGGGTTTGGTTTGTCGAGTCGTCATTGTATTGCCTCTGTTAAATATTTGCGGCAATCTGGTCAACTTGAATTCTGAAGAGGAGAAAGTTGCTAATATCTGTGTGTGTGTGGATTGACATAGCTGTCTACCAGAAAATTTCAACCAATCGTTGGATCTCTCTCATTTTCCTAATAAAAAGTCCAACGTTTGTTTCTCATACAAAAATATAGAATAGATTTCATCACTGTGCATTTCTAAGGACCGTTCATTCATTTTCCCCATGACAACGTATATGAAACTGAATCGGAAGTAGTTTTACGATACATAATGCTGAGAAGTCGAGGTGTGGTCTCAGAATTATTAGAATATTTGAATGATTTGCTTTGCCAAAGTTTGTGGAGGATGATGTGGTCAATAGATATCATAACTGTATGCTTTGCCAGATAATTGATGTCTTCTGTCGTCAATTGCGCATATCCGGCTAAACTGATCTCTAGTGTCTTTGCTTCTTGTGGTAGGATGTCGTAGGCTGTGCTTGGAGTCGTGCTGACCTTCGCCCGCCATGGATGTGCCTGTAACAAGTTTCATACTTTCTTCGCTCATCTTTGTTTTTTTTCCTGGACCTATCAATGTACCCAAACCTTTATTTTCATTGGAAAACAATTATTTGTTAAATGCACTTTCATCTCTAAAGTTTGAGTTGTTACTTGCAAGTAGACCTGCAAACGGGTCGGATTTATTGGGTTTGGGTCGGGTTGAACCCGACCCGTTAAGTTAACGGGTCACCCGAACCCGACCCGTTAAGCTAACGGATCATCCGTTTCACCTGTTGACACCCGTTAACAATTATTTTTATTTTTATTTTTTACATAAAGTTTATTTTTTGTCATTAAGATTTTACTAAAATTACTAAAATATCCTCAACTAACGGGTGCTAACGGGTGTTAACGGGTCCTAACGGGTCCAACGGGTTGACCCAAAGTGACCCGTTATTTAACGGGTTGTTAACGGGTTCACCTGTTAACGACCCGACCCGTTAAGCATCCACCCAAATACAAATATTAACGGGTTGGGTCAGGTCGGGTTAACGGGTTGGGTCCAAAATGCCAGGCCTACTTGCAAGCAATTGAACAGATGCTATGCATGCGCTTACTAAAATTTACAAAGAAAAAAAATATATATAAAATGGTCGCTGAAGCTTTTTCGGTGAGGACCAACGATTTTTTGTCACTGAAGAGGTTGTGCATATCTTTAGCGACTGTTTTAAGATAACTATTCTGCCACTAAAAGGTTTATTTCATTTTGCATGTGTTGGTAAATGTAAGCAAAGTTAAGAGACTCATTTGGAAGTGGCTTCCAACTCATTTCAAATAAGTGAGACACAAATAAAATTTACAAGAAACAGCTTCAAACTCATTCTAAATAAGTGAGACACGAATAAAATTTAAAAGAACTTTGATTTCCTTTTGCGCCTTTACATTTTTAACAAGTCATCTTGACGTGTGTCAATGGTCAACTTGTGATTTGATTTGTGCAAGAATAATAACACCTTACATGTGAGGGGCCGAGTATTCTCTGACTTAAAATACTCTTGATTTTTTTTTTTTTTTTGAGAACCAGGAGAAACACATCCCAGGGCTAAGAAGCCAAACAAAAGCAAGAAAGCTTACACAAAGGCAAACACTACGAAACTAAAAACAAAGCAAAACAGTGAGCGGGGATACAAGCCACAAACACTTGAACTAAGTTGAAGTGTCACCCCAAACCCACCACATCCGGCTAACGAGAACAAAGAAGACCATCATTACATAAAACATGAACTAACGAAAATGGGGGTCTGTCAATCCACCACATCCGACTTAAAATACGCTTGATATTAAGAAAGGTAAAATAACCGCATGGGACTTGCCGGCGAGGGTGCTGTTGAGACTTGCAAGTGGTATTTTACAAACCTGACACAGCTGACTGACTGATACATGTATTTATTTAATCATTGAAAGCGAATTACTCGCATAAATACAAAAGTTTTAGGTAACCGCCAATTGAAAAAATGTATATATTTATGATTAAGCATCTAACTCAACAGATGAGTTAATATAAACCTTTTTCAATGATTTTTTCCCCTTAATTTTTGTATCACAACTTTGTCCATTTGTATAGCTGCCATGCACCTTCGACTAGGCCTGTCATTTTTAACCAAACCCATTAACCCGACACGACCCGACCCGTTAAAATTAGTATTCGGGTGGGTGGTTAACGGGTCGGGTAGTTAACGGGTCAACCCGTTAGTCACCCGTTACATAACGGGTCAGTTTGGGTGAACCCGCGAAACCCATTAGCCACCCGTTAAGACCCGTTTGTAAGGATTTTTGTGTAATTTCAATAGCCCTAATTCAAAACCTCAGGACCTCAGCCGTCAGCCCTCACGTTCCTCACCTCTCTCGCTGCCTCACACGCCATTGCTCTCTGAGACTGAGATCGCTGTGCAGCCTGTGCTCCTTCCTTCTAGCTCCGGTTATCTCCCTCATCTTCTTCCCTCAAAAACTTTACTGAACTCCACCACTCTCTCTCTGGTAAGCTCCGATTTCCTTCCACCTCTTCTTTCATTTCGATTACTTTTCGTTTCTGCAGATTAGATTTTTGGTTGTGTTTTGGATAATGGGTTTTGCGTTTTGTTCATGGGTTTTGTACAGAGTATTGATTTCTTTGTTCATGGGTTTTGTTCATGCGTTTTGTTCATGGGTTTGAATCTTTGGAATCTGTTTGGACTACTTTTGACTCCTCGGTTTGTCGCTGCACTCTAAAATGGTCATTATCTGTAGGAAGGGCTTTGATAATTTCTTCCATTTACAAATTTTCTATGGCGAGTGCGGATAATCATGGAGGTAGGAACACGGAGCAGGTCTCATGATGATGATATATTTGTTTCCCTTATACATTGGAGTCTCTGTTAAGCTTTCGGGTGTATAAATAGAAGGCAGTTCCTGTATAATTCTTCTGGATAATCACTTGTTTCGGCTTAGCCTTTGTATGGGGAATTGAAAGGTATTCACAATATAGAAAATAGAAAATTTCTTTGGCATGCTGTGTGATTTGATTCAAGACCTCCTTTGTAGTAGCGCTTCGAACTCTATATTCTCGCTCTCTCTCTCTCTCTCTCTTCTTTTTTCCTCTATCTTTAATGGAAAACAAAAATAGAAACATTTCGAAACGGACCCTTTGTGTTTCCATCCTCAGTTTATGTTTCGTAATTTGTCTGTTCTCCCATAGATAGCGTGTTGCTCATAGCTTGTTAGAGCATGTGTTGTTGTGAAATGTCCGCACTCCGCATGCATGCTTTTTATGCACAAGTCCTTGAACTTCTTGAATTTGGAGGCTCTCACATTCAAAAGTTCGGCATGTCTCTTTCAGATTGTGTGGTTTGATTCTAGGCGGACTCTGATTCACAAACAAATACAATTGTAGTGTTAATACTCAACTCTGGGGTTTTTTTAATTTTGAGTGGAGATTGAAAACCCAGAAATCAAAATTTGGATTTTTTACGAATTTTGATTCGAATCTTCTGATTTGTATTGTCTTAGAAAAACCCGCTTGATGGGATATATGGTTAATTGTGATCAAATATGATTTGTTTGTTTGGTGTTAAAGTAATTGTTGTTTCTGTAGTTTAGAATACACCGACTATCGAGTGTAGGCAGATAAACATCAAATGATTTAAGATATATGCTGTCTTCTTCGGAATATGGATTGTCTGTCTCAAGCTTGTTTTTCGTTCGATCGTTTTGTGCGTTGAGATGTCTCACGGACAATTTACAGTACTATTTCTTGGAGTGAGTTAGTTTAGTTTTCTGTTAAGCAACAGGGCATGGCATGCAATGCAGTTGTTTCAGAAATTTGTAGTCCTACAAGGAGTTCAAGATAGGTTCTTCCGACTTGATCTCTACAATTGGAACATTGGTCCATTGTGTTGTTTCTTACTTTCCTGTAATTTGCTTTGACGTCGTAATATGCTGGTGAGGCATGACAGCAGGCAGAGCTGTTGGCATAATACCCCCAATGGAACAGAACCTAAAAAAAAAAAAAAAAAAAAAAAAAAAAAAAAAAAAAAAAAAACATGAAACGGGTGACCCGTTAAGACCCGTTAGCTTAACGGGTCGGGTTTGGGTGACCCGTTAGCTTAACGGGTTGGGTTTGGGTGACCCGTTAAATTAACGGGTCGGGTTCAACCCGACCCGAACCCAATAAACCCGACCCGTTTACAGGCCTACCTTCGACCTCTTAATTTATTTAATTAAATGTTGCAAAGTGTATACTAATGACTAATCATAGTTGTTAACATTGCTTGATGGCCAAGGATTGCAGCATTGCTTCTGTGTGCAAATTTAAATAAGGGAACTTTAACGAAAAGCATCCGGTACTGTTCATTTTAACGAAAAACCACATTTTTACACTAAAAAGTCAATCCTGGTACTATACACTTTACCCTTTATTTTGTCCTTATCATTAAAACTCAAAGTTTTCAAACCTTTTTCATTAGTTTTCCTTTTAAATAAACGTTGCAAAGTATATACTTAATTGAAGCCTTAATTGAGTTTGGTAAATGAGAAAAAGAAATGTTTTTTTTTTGTCAAAATTATGATTTCAAAACAGTAGAAAGCAAAAACAGTTATGTACATATTTATAAAAAAATGTTTTTTTTATTGAAGACAGGTGAACAATATCAATTAATGAAACTTTCATATTAACTATTCTAATCCCATCTGTCTTTGCTAAAAGTACTTTTAGCATTATAGTTTACTCAATACTTTTCATGAAGATCTGACTTTTCATCTAATTAATCTTATGTCTGTAGAATTGCATGTGCAGGATTCTAATTCTCTTAATTTTGCTCAATTTATCTGATTTGTACTATCATCTAACATATGCGTTCCTTATAAAATCCACCCGCCGAAGGGTTTCGATTTTACTATGACGTAACGAGTCATGTACGTAAGAATTATTAGTATATTATAACGGTTGTTTTAGCATGTGATCTTCTGTCACATAATATGGTCTAAAAATCTAGTTCATGTATTATATTAGAGCATCTCTAATGGCAATTGAGTATGCAAATTCATTTGATGAGCCATGTAAGTAAAACTAGCTTCAACGGTATAGGTAATTGAGTTTACAAATTTTGCCTACTATAAGCAATGTTGACTACAATAACACAAGTAGGCAAATCAAGCTTTGCATGCCAAAACTAAAATGTAAAAGAAGAAAATTAACGAAAAGAGCTTAAAAACTTTGAGTTTTAACAAAAATGACAAAAATGTGTTGTAAGTGAATAGTACCAAAAGTGACTTTTTAGAGTTAAAATGTCCTTAACGTTAAAAGTGAACAGTACCAGGAGTGTTTCGTTAAGAATCCCAAGTAAAAGTAGACGTTATAGATAAAATAAAATATTAAAATATAACTATGCCTATTTTTTTTTTCCTAAAGGGGAATAGCTAATGACTTCACCACAGCAGTCCACAATTTCAGAGATCGGGAAGACTAACAAAGGCATTTCAGCCTCCTCCTAATCACCATCATGTGATTCATCATCACCAGAAATCGAAACCAAGACGTGCTAAGTGAAAAACAAACACTCAGCTCAATAAATTAATAGTTTTGCAGGCCAAGGATCTGCTGTCCCTGAAGTGATGTCTCCTTCTATGTCTCTTTTTCATTTATTTGACACGTGTCATCCATTTTAACAGAAGTTTACGTCTGTTAAGTTGTATTATTGTGAGTTCAGTCGAAAAATCAATTCCCCAAAATACATGAGGAGTATCAGATTCCCGAGCAACCGGTGCCGTCAGCCAAGCACCTCAACCACCCCACCTCACCGACGACAACACCCTCGGCCTCGATTTGTATCTCTCCCTCCCTCTCTCTCCCTCTAAACTCCCGCTTCAGAGCCTAATTGATCCCCACGATATCGTTATCTCCCAATTCCTCAGAAATTCAATCCAAATCGCCGGCTTCGATTTAGTTCGATTCAAATCAAATCGACAGATCCAGTTCATTTCAATTTAAATAGCCGGCTCTAGTTCGACTCAAATCAAATCGTTGGCTCCGGTTCAATGAGATTCCAAACGACAATTCCGATCCGATTCAATTCCGATCTTTATCGATATATTTTTCATGGAACATCGTTTCGAGTTTTAGCATGGACACCATCAATGAGAATTATGGCAACTTTTGGGATGGTTGGGGTGTTCGGCGATGAAGACGAAGGCGTTGGGGAAATAGACAGTCTCGGCCGCTTCGGCTTGACTTTTGGTATTTTGGAGGTTTTTTTATTATTTCTCAATACAAGATAATAAAGCTTAACAGAAGTTAACCACTATTAAGGTGAAAGACACGTGTCAAACAAATAAAAATGAGACACGAAAGGAGACATTATTTTAGGGACAGCAAATCCTTGGCCAGTTTTGCATCACGCTAGCTCGTGTTAATTTACTCACACACAATAAATTAACACGAAACTTTGGAACATGAAAGACTCCATCAAGTTATAAATCATGCAATAATTTGACTGATTCAACGCTCTCAAATCCTGCCTTCCCCGCATTCATTTTGCGGCTGTGAAAAAAAAATTGTGTTTAGTTTACTATATTGTCAATAACGTTTACTTTGATTATTGTTTTTTTAAGTTCTTAATTTGATCCTTCTAACTTCTACTCTCTTTTTTTATTGACAAAGAAAATTTTGTTATTAAGTAATTTAGATTATGTAGAATTGCAATAGGGTTGTGCGATGACACGTCTATTTTTACCTCCCACATATCCTTGATAATTTTTAGACATTTACCTCATTCAATTCATTCGATTTGACAGTTGAAAATTAAGTTGAATGTTTGAAAAATAAAAATAAGTATGTAGGTAGCACTATCCTATGTTTACAACAACATAATCCACACAGGTTTTGACCTTACACTTAGAGTTCATCTCAACTTAATTTAGTATCGAATTCGCCATCTACGAGATTCGAACCTAAGACCTCCCACTTGCAAGTGAAAATGAATACTACAAAATCGTAGTATTGTGTGGCTGCACCTTTACATTTTTAATAAGTCATCTTTACGTGTGTCACTGCCAACTTATGATTTAATCTGTCAAGAATAAAAACACTTTGCATGTGAAGAGTGAGTATTTTACAACTTAAGATACTCTTAAAATTAAGAAAGCAAAAACAACAACATGGGACTTGCCGGCGAGGTTGCCGTTGAGACTTGCAAGTGGTATTTTTCAAGCATGACACAGCTGACTGATAGGAAGATATATTTATTTAGGGAATTGTTATTAAAACTTCAAAAATCTCATTTTGCATTCTAAACTTTATATAATTAGAAAGAAAAATATACTTGTGAGGAGTGTAGAATGAGATTTTTAAAGTGCTAATAACAGTTGTCTTTATTTAATCATTAAAAGATAATTACTAGCAAAAAGTCAAAAGTTTTACGTAACTGCCAATTGAAAAATGTATATATTTATGATTAAGTATCCAACTCAACGGATGAGTTAATATAAACCTTTCTCACAAAAATTTCCTCCTTAATATTTGTATTACAACTTTGTCCATTTGTATCAGTTACCCTGCGCACCTTTAACTTTTTTTTTAATTTTATTATTATTAATAGGAGAGGGAAAAGTTTGAAATTATTACAATAATTTAGAGGAGTGAGAAGTTTCGAACCCGAGACACATGAGTAAAAACCAACATCCTATCCACCAAAATATTGGACCACACTTTTTAATTTGTTTAATTTAATATTGCAAAGTATATACTATGATTAAATATCCTAGTTGTTAACATTATTTGAAGGCCAAGGATTGGAGGATTGCTTGAATTTGCTATAATACTTTCATGTGTTTAATATAATTACCATCTGATGATCAGATATAAAGCATATTAGAGTTGAATCACAAGGGCATGGAAGGGTGGCAGACAGATTGGCCTATAACGAAGATGTGACTTTTCATCTGATTAATCTAATGTTTGTAGAAATCCACCAGTTGAAGGGTTTCGATTTTAATATTACGTAAAGCGTCATGTACGTAAGAATCACTAATATATCGTAACGATTGTTTGAACATGTAAACTACTGTCACATAATATGGTCTAAAAACTAATCCTTCTATCATATTAGAGCATCTCCAATAGCAATGAGTATGCAAATCCATTTTGATGAGCCACATAAGCAAAACTAGCTTTGGTATAGGCAATTGAGTTTTCAAATTTTAGCTACTTCCCAAAGTAGGCAATGTTGACTACAATAACATAAGTAGAAAATTAAGTTTCGGATGCCAGAACTAAAATGTATAATTAAGTAGTTATTATGGATAAAATACAATATTAAAATATAATTCTGCCTACTTGGCTTGCTTAATCCATATGAGTGACAAATATTTTCATGACATAATTGAGTAGGCAACCTATCAAGTCAACTTTTATAGTACAATTTTATCTACTTTAGTTGCATATGAGAGCAGCTCCAGCCATGGGAGTTGCCCGGGGGGCAGGGGAGAGGAAAGGGCCCGAGGCCCTATGAATCAACTCCAGCCTTGAAGAGCTCGAGCTGGTGAGAAGGCCCGAGCAGAAGGCCTGTCAACTTTTGACAGCCCGTGAGCCCGAGCTCCAAACCCTTTTTTAATTTTTTTCTGTCAAGCGCGTGCACCCCACTCGCGCATGGGGGTGCGTCGCCCAACAGCTTTTCAAAAAAGCAGTCCACTTTTGCAGTGGTCTCAGTTACCGTTGGGAAGCCACGTGGCTTCCCACGGTCCGTTCGATCTCAACGGCTCCTTAATTTGGACCGTTGGATCTCAACGGTAAAAAAAAAAAAATCTTATTTAATATCAACCATTCGATCTGAGATCAACGGTCGATATTAATATGCTTTATAAATAAAGAAAAAATAGTTTTAAAATTAAGAAAAGTTACCGTTGTGACACGTGGCACAATCTGGAGTGTTGGAATTCAAATTTTTTAAAATCCAACGGCAGAGATTAATTATTTGAATAAAAAAATTTAAAAAAATGGAAAA